CCTACGTCATCTGAATTTTCTACCACATGCACTTACTTACTAGATAAAAGATAAAGTTTAAAAATACTTAGATTTTATTTATTTATTTACTTATTTATTTTGAGATGGAGTTTCACTCTTGTTACCCAGGCTGGAGTGCAATGGCGCGATCTCGGCTCACCGCAACCTCTGCCTCCTGGGTTCAGGCAATTCTCCTGCTTCAGCCTCCTGAGTAGCTGGGATTACAGGCACGCGCCACCATGCCTAGCTAATTTTTTGTATTTTTAGTAGAGACGGGGTTTCACCATGTTGACCAGGATGGTCTCGATCTTTTGACCTCGTGATCCACCTGCCTCGACCTCCCAAAATGCTGGGATTACAGGCGTGAGCCACTGCGCCCGGCCAAATACTTAGATTTTAAAATATGCTTTAAAATGGTTTTTGTTCACTGATTTTTCTTACCACTTCTTCCTTGTTCAGTTTTCTTACTGAATGAATTCTGTCTTTGCACATCTAAAAGACAACATTCTTGGTCAGGTGCAGTGGCTCATGACTATAATCCTGGCACTTTGGGAGGTTGAGGCGGGTGGACTGCTTGAGCCCAGGAGTTTGAGACTAGCCTGCGCAACATGGTGAGATTCCATGTCTACAAAAAAATAGCCAGGTGTGATGGCACACACCTGTAGTCCCAGCTACTTGGGGGGCTGTGGACGGGAGGATCACCTGAGCCTAGGAGGTTGAGGCTGGAGTGATCCATGATTATGCTACTATACTCCAGGTTCGGTGAAAGGGTAAGACTCTGTCTCAAAAAATAAATAAAAATTGAATTGTTTATATTCTTGAAATACAATTTAGTGAGGTATAGAATTTTTTGATACTGTCACTCTGTTCATAATATCTAAGTATCTGCTTCCTATTCCAATACTGTTAATGTCAATTTCATTTCTCCTCTTTTACAGAGGATGTATTTTCTTTCTGGTAGCTTCCAAAATTTTATAATATAAATTTTTTTCTAAGTTTTAAGTTCAGGGGTACACGTACAGTTTTGTTACATAGGTAAACTTGTGGCATGGGGGTTTGTTGTACAGATTATTTCATCACCGAGGTATTAAGCCTAGTACTCTTTAGTTATTTCCCCCAATCCTCTCCCTCCTCCCACTCTCCACCCTCCAACAAGTCCCAGTGTGTGTTGTTCTCCTCTATACGTCCATATGTTGTCATCATTCAGCTCCCACTTATAAGTGAGAACATGCAGTATTTGGTTTTCTGTTCCTGTGCTTGTTTGTTAAGGACAATGGCCTCCAGCTCCATCCATGTCCCTGCAAAGAACATAATCTTGTTCTTTTTTTATGGCTACATAGTATTCCATGGTATATATGTACCACATGTTCTTTATCCAGTCTATTATTGATGGGCATTTAGGCTGATTCCATGTCTTTCCTATTGTGAATAGTGCTGTAATGAACACACACATGATGTATCTTTATAAAAGAATGGTTTACATTCCTTTAGGTATATACCCAGTAACGGGATTGCTGGGTTGAATGATATTTCCTTTTTTTTTTTTTTTTGGAGACAGAGTCTCACTCTGTCGCCCAGGTTGGAGTGCAATGGCACAATCTCGCCTCACTGCAACCTTCGCCTCCCAGGTTCAAGCAATTCTCCTGCCTCAGCTTCCTGAGTAGCTGAGATTACAGGCACCCACGACCATGCCCGGCTAGTTTTTTTCAATTTTTAGTAGAGATAGCATTTCACCATATTAGCCAGGCTGATTTGAATGGTATTTCTGTCTAGGTTTTTGAAGAATGCCACACTCTCTTCCACAATGGTTGAACTAATTTACACTCCTACCAACGGTGTATAAGCATTCCTTTTTCTCCACAACTTCACCACCATCTGTTATCTTTTGACAAAACGTGGATTTTTTAAAAAAGTATTTGCTCAGGCTGGGCATGGTGGCTCACTCCTGTAATCCCAGCACTTTGGGAGGCCAAGGCAGGCAGATCACGAGGTCAGGAGTTCAAGACCAGCCTGCCCAACATGATAAAACCCCATCTCTACTTAAAAAAAAAAAGTATTTGTTCTCTGGTATTTTTTGAGACTTTTCAATGTGAGGATCATTTATTACTTTTTAGACAATTTCCTTGCCTTTATTTTCCTTAGTCTTTTCTTCTAGAATACTACTAAGACATGTAGGGTACACCAAGAAGCCCAACGTAAGTCTCTTCATTTCATTTATTTTTACCATCTCTTTTCCCTGCTATATTCCATAATCAGGACTTTTTGACAAGGACTTACTAGTTACTTTTGCCTGGCCGTCTACCCTGCATAGGACTTTAAGTGGTCTGAAGTCTGGCTCCATGCAGGTAACAGTAAACCAGAGGCTAATCACTGCTAGTCCCATTTTCATGTCTTTGTGCTCTACTCAAGGAGTACCAGGAAAGCAGCATATTTATGGTTCCGACCCCAAGCACTTAGACACAAGTGTTCCACTCTGGTTTACTAGCAAAAAGAGCTATTCTGGACACCTAGCTTCATGTGAGAAAACAAGTTCTAAGTTTTACATGTAGTTCCCAATCTCATGCTGGTTTGAAGTCCCAGCTATTGACACTGGGATCTCATCTGTGTTCTCCACATTCCTTATGGCTTCAGCCTTTGCTCCCTATTAGTTTTCTCACCGACCTGGAAATTTTCACCTTATCTTTCAGTGCAGCTTTGCACTAAAAAAATTTCTTTCCTCAATCACTCCTATATGGAAAGAATATGTGCATTCTATTATTTCGAGAAGAAATTTTTATTGTAGTAAATCATTTGCAAACAAAATTTAGACTTTTTTAAAACTTAGATTTAAGATTCTTCTAATAAGCAGAAATATGTCAAAATTCCTCTCTCTTAAATTTGATATTATATAAAAATAACTTAGTTACCACTGCAATCTATAAAGTGCTTGAGAGATATCACCCAAAGCTGAATATACCTAAATATATCAAATTCTTTGCCTTAATCATTTTAGACAAATAACCAAAACGTTTTTAACACTTTGAATTAAATTCTATTAAGAAATAAAATATGGCCAGGCGCGGTGGCTCAAGCCTGTAATCCCAGCACTTTGGGAGGCTGAGGCGGGTGGATCACGAGGTCAAGAGATCGAGACTGTCCTGGCCAACATGGTGAAACCCCGTCTCTACTAAAAAAAAAAAAAAAAAAAAAAATACAAAAAATTAGCTGGGCATGGTGGCTCGTGCCTGTAATCCCAGTTACTCATGAGGCTGAGGCAGGAGAATTGCCTGAACCCAGGAGGCGGAGGTTGCGGTGAGCCGAGATCGCGCCATTGCACTCCAGCCTGGGTAACAAGAGTGAAACTCCGTCTCAGAAAAATAAAATAAAATAAAATAAAATATGACTAAATAGGTCATTATATAACATCTCGATTGTAGACTAACATACCCTCACTTTTTAAAAAATTATACTTTAAGTTCAGAGATACATGTGCAGAACGCGTAAGCTTGTTACGTAAGTTTTCACGTGCCATGGTGGTTTGCTGCACCCATCAACCCATCACCTACATTAGGTATTTCTCCTAATACTATCATCTCCCCTAGATCCCCACCCCGTGACAGGCCCCAGTGTGTGATGCTCGCCTCCCTGTGTCCATGTGTTCTCATTGTTCAACTCCCATTTATGAGTGAGAATGTGAGGTGTTTGGTTTTCTGTTCCTGTGTTAGTCTGCTGAGAATGATGGTTTCTAGCTTCATCCATATCCCTGCAAAGAACATGAACTCATCCTTTTTTATGGCTGCATAGCATTCCATGGTGTACATGTGCCACATTTTCTTTATCTAGTCTATCATTGCTGGGCATTTGCCATTACCCTCACTTTTTACATTTAAAACCATCACCCCCTCCGTGCTGCACTGCATGACCACACATTCCTAACAAGTGCTTAGCAGGTATCTTATGTATTTATATCCAATAAATGTAAAAAAAAAAAATGCTTATCTATAAAATCAGCTATTAAATATCCAATTAGCCTTTTCCAACATATAAATAAAAGACACTGATATAATATAGCTTTTACTTTTTTAAGGGAAGTATCTTAATTTTTGTAAGGCAGCTTAACAACACAACAGCAACAAAAGGAAAATAAAATGTCTCAGAGGAGAAATCTCAACATGTTCATCACATAGGATAGTGGAATATATATTGGTCTAGAATCTGATAACATTGCCAGTCACACCCTATGGCATCACTACAAAACTTCCCAGAGCCAGGTTTAAAAGATGCCCAGGCTGAGTATGATGGCTCACACCTGTAATCCCAACACTTCAGGAGGCCAAGACAGGCAGACCACTTGAGGTCAGGAGTTCAAGACCAGCCTGGTCAACATGGTGCAACCCTGTCTCTACAAAAAATACAAAAATTAGCCTGGTGTGGTGACAGGCACCTGTAATCCCAGCTATGTGGGAGGCTGAGGCAAAGCCACAGTAAGCTGAGATAGCACCACTGCACTCTAGCCAGGGTGACAGGACAAGACCTAGTCTCAAAAAAAAAAAAAAATTTCTGTAGAGACCAGGAGCAGTGGTTCAACACTTGTAACCCTAGCACTTTGGGAGGTCAAGGTGGGAGGACTGTTTGAAGTCAGGAAATTTGAGACCAGCCTGGGCAACACAGTAAGATCTTGTCTCTTTCTCTCTCTCTCTTTTTATCAGACAGAGTCTTGTTCTGTCATCCAAGCTGGAGTACAATGGCGCAATTACGGCTCTCTGCAGCCTTGACCTCCCAGGCTCAAGTGATCCTTCTACCTCAGCCTCCCAAAGTGCTGGGATTACAGGTGTGAACCACTGTGCTCAGCGCATTTCTAGAATACTTTCTAACTAACATGTCAGGATTCTTTGATTCTCCTCAACTTTGTTAAATTATTGTATTCATTTAAGAGGATAATACATAGCCTATCCCATCATTCAATATTCTGAAAAAGAGAGCTTCTAAGTTTTTCACAAGTCATATAACCAATGCATTACCTGTCTAAGTTAGTGCCACCAGAAGAGTATTCCTTGGATCCAGCTCTGCTACCATAAAAGGATGATGACTGTAAAGGTAAAAGCCCTATAAAACAAATGAACAAAGGAAAAACTTAATTCCTAAATCAACCATTTAAGTTCATTTACTAATAATATAAGTATACATTACTTCTGATTACATTTAACTCTTTTTTTCCTTTTCATCAAATACAGCAATATCTCATGTTATTGCTCTTGGCTTTATTGTGCCTCACAGATATTGTTTTTGTTGTTTTGTTTTTAAACAAATTGAAGGTTGTGGTAACCGTACACCAAGCAAGTCAATTTTCTCAACAGTATATGCTTGCTCACTTCATGTCTATGTCACATTTTGGTAATTCTTGCAATGTTTCAAACTTTTTAATTATATGTTACAGTGATCTGTGATCAGTGATCTTTGATGCTATTACTGCAATTGTTTTGGGGTACCATAAACTCCACCCATATAAGATGTCAAACTCAATTTATCTGATTGCTCCACCAACTGGTCATTACTATCCCATCTCTGTCTCTCTTCTTGGGCCTCGCTATTCCGTGAGGCAAAATATTGAAATTAGGATAATTAATAACCCTATAATGACCTCGATATGCTCAAGTGAAAGAAAGAGTTGCACATCTCATTTTAAATGAAAAGCTAGCAACAGTTAAGCCCAGTGAGGAAGGCATGTCAAAAGCTGAGAAAGGCTGAAAGCTAGGCCTTTTGCACTAAACAGCTAATTTATAAATGCAAAGAAACAGCTCTTGACAGAAATTAAAAGTGCTGCTACTCAAGTGAACAAGTGAATGATAACAAAGCAAAACAACCTTACTGCTGATGTGGAGAAAGTTTTACAGATCTATACGGAAGATCAAACCAGCCACAACATTCTCTTAAGCCAAAACCTAATCCAGGGTAAAAGTCTAACTCTATTCAATTCTATGAAGGCTGAGAGAGACAGAAGAAAAGTGTGAAGCTAGTAGGCACTGGTTCAAGAGATTTAAGTAAAGAAGCCATCTTCATAACATTAAAGTACAAAGTGAAGCAGCAAGTACTGCTATTAATGCTGCAGCAAGTTACTGAGAAGATGTAGCCAAGATCACTGATGAAGGTGGCTAGGTTAAACAACAGGTCTTCAATGTAGATGACACAGCCTTATACTGGAAGAAGGTGCCATCTAAGAGTTTCATAGATAGAAATCAATGCCTAGCTTTAAAGTTTCAAAGTACAGGCTGATTCTCTTGCTAGGGGCTAATGCAGCTGAGGACTTGAGGCTGAAGCCAATGCGTACTTACCGTAGGGAAAATCCTAAGGCCCTTAAGAATTACGCTAAATCTACTTGCCTGTGCTCTAGATATGGAACAATGAAACCTAGATGACAACACATCTGTTTACAGCATAATTTAATCAATATTTTAAGCCACTATTGATAACCATTGCTCAGAAAAAAAGATTGTTTTCAAAATACTACTGCTCCTTGACAATGCACCTAGTACTCAAGAGCTCTGATGGAGAAGTACGAAGATAATGTTTTCATGCCTACTAACACAACATCCATTCTACAGCCCACGGATCAAGGAGTCATTTCAATTTTCAAGTCTTACTATTTAAGAAATACATTTCATAAGGCTATATAGCAGACAGTGATTCCTGTGATGGAGCTAGGCAAAGTGAACTGAAAATCTTCTGGAAAGAATTTATCATTCTAGATGTCATTAAGTACATTGATAATTCATGAGAAGAGGTCAAAATAGCAACCATAACAGGAGTTTGGAAGTTGATTCCAACCTTCAGATAACTTTGAGGGTTCAAGACATCAGTGGAGATGCAATCAATTGCAAATGTTGTAGGAATATCAAGAGATTAGAATTAGAAGTGGAGTCTACAGATGTAACTGAATTGCTGCAATCTCATGATCAGACTTTAATGGATGGAGAGTTGCCCTACGGATGAGCAAATAAAGTAGTTTCTTGAGATGAAATCTACTCCTGGCAAAGAAACTGTGAATGCTGTTGAAATGACAACATAGGATTTAGAATATTACAAACATTTAGTTGAGAAAGCAATGGTAGTGTCTGAAAAGATTGATGTCAATTTTGAAAGAAGTTCTGTGGGTAAAATCCTATCAAGCAGTATAACATGCTACAGAGAAATCTTTCATGAAAGGAAGAGTCAATTGATAATGTCATAAATTGTCTTATTTTAAGAAACTGCCACAGCTGCCCTAGCATTCAGCAACCACCACCACCCTAATTAGCAGCCAACAACACAGAAATAAGACCCTTCACCAGCAAAAAGATTACAACTCACTGAAGATTCAGATGATTATGAGCATTTTTTAGGAATAAAATATTTTAAAATTAAGACTGCCAGGTGCAGTGGCTCCTGTCTGTAATTCTAGTACTTGGGGAGGCCAAGGCTGGTCCCCAACACTTGAGCCCAGGAGTTGGGGACCAGCCTGGACCATAAGGCAAAACCACATCTCTACAAAAATACAAAAAATTAGCCAGGCATGGTGGCATGCACCTGTAATCCCAGCTACTTGGGAGGCTGAGGTGGGAGGATCGCTTAAGCCTGGGAGGTCAAGGATGCAGTGAGCCAAGATCACACCACTAAACTCCAGCCAGGGCGACAGAGTGAGACCGTCTCAAAAAAAAGCTGGGCGCAGTGGCTCACACCTGTAATCCCAGAACTTTGGGAAGCTGAGGCTGGCAGATCGCCTGAGGTCGGGAGCTCGAGACCAGCCTGGCCAGCATGGTGAAATCCTGTCTCTACTAAAAATACAAAAATTAGTCAGGCATGGTGGTGGGTGCCTGTAATCCCAGCTATTCGGGAAGCTGAGGCAGGAGAATCACTTGAACCTAAGAGGTGAAAGTTGCAGTGAGCCGAGATGAAGCCATTGCACTCCAGCCTGGGCAACAGAGACAGACTCCGTCTCGACAGACTCCAGTATAGTATAAACATAACTTTTATATGCCCTGGGAAACCAAAAAAATTCATCCTTCCTTTATTGTGCTATTAGCTTTACTTATGTGGTCTGGAACTACACCTGCAATATCTCCAAAGTATGCCTGTATACATGCATGTTAAAAGATCAAATATTGTGAAAGAAACTATAATAGTAAAGCTATCCTCCCCTGACCCAAAGCAATACAAGTTGTGCTTCTAATTTTTAACTATTTAAAAAAAATTTTTTTTCTGATTTCCTCAACAGTGCTAATAACATTTCTACTACTTCTTGATTTATTCATTTTAAAGTTTCAGTTGACTCTCATTGCAGAAAATTAGTATCACCCCTACTCATGTCCTCTTCTCTCCAACCAATTATTAGTAGTATTACTTTAGTTCTTCCACCAATTAATTCTGTAACTTTAACATATTTTAAACATCTACATTTTGTTCCATTAATCTTACCATTTAGCCACGCACTTCCTTCTCTCTTCCACATCAAATTTTGTTAGATGTACCTTAAATTCAGCCTTGTTAAGGCTTACTTCATTTCAGGTTTTCTGTTTTTTTTTTTTTTTGAGACAGTTTCACTCTTGTTACCCAGGCTGGAGTGTAATGACGCGATCTCGGCTCACCGCAACCTCCGCCTCCTGGGTTCAGGCAATTCTCCTGCCTCAGCCTCCTGAGTAGCTGGGATTACAGGCACGCGCCACCATGCCCAGCTAATTTTTTCTATTTTTAGTAGAGACGGGGTTTCACTATGTTGACCAAGATGGTCTCGATCTCTTGACCTCATGATCCACCCGCCTCAGCCTCACAAAGTGCTGGGATTACAGGCTTGAGCCACCGCGCCTGGCCAGATTTTGTTTTCTAACTACAGGCTGATTATAAAAGCTGAGAGACAGTAAGTGGAGTTTATAGCTTCTAAATGTTACTTCAGAGGTAAGACTTACATGTGATATTTCTTTTTTTTTTTTTTTTGAGACGGAGTTTTGCTCTTGTTACCCAGGCTGGAGTGCAATGGCGCGATCTTGGCTCACTGCAACTTCCGTCTCCTGGGTTCAGGCAATTCTCCTGCCTCAGCCTCCTGAGTAGCTGGGATTACAGGCACGTGCCACCACGCCCAGCTAATTTTTTGTATTTTTGGTAGAGACGGGGTTTCACCATGTTGACCAGGATGGTCTTGATCTCTTGACCTCGTGATCCACCCGCCTCGGCCTCCCAAAGTGCTGGGATGACAGGCTTGAGCCACCGCGCCCGGCTACATGTGATATTTCTTAAGAGTCAACGTTATAATCCCCAACTACTAAAAGAAGAACATTCCTAGAGTTCTGATCAACTGGATTCTCTTAAACTATCAATTTATCAAAATCATGCCATATTTTAGCTTATTTCAAGTTAAAATTGACATAATACTCAAGTTAATACCAGATATTGAATTATCTAAGGATTTCAAAGAATCAGATCTGTTAAGTGTGGGAAACAACTGACAAAAATGTTTTTTTGTAAAAACAGGGTAGAAGGTTAAGTTTAAACAACTGTTTTGGACAATAATTTCAAGATCTTCTGAAGCTGCTAAAAAGCACTAACACTGATGCACCTTAATTTCCACCACTTTACTACTCTAATTTATTCTATAATCCTGGTACTTTGACAATTAAAGAACTTAATTCTAGGTAGCCAATTGGGGAAGAAGAAGGTAAAGACTGGGTTCTTTATAAACAAAATACAAGTTCCCCTGTATATCTAACACTTTAAAATATTTTAGCCAAGTTCTGGGTACAAATTGGTCCCCAATAACTAATACCAGACTAGAGCAGGCACAGTGGCTCAAACCAATAATCCCAGCACTTCAGGAGACCCAGGTATGTGGACCACTTGCAGTCAGGATTTTGAAACCAGCCTGGCCAAGATGGTGAAACCGTATTTCTACTAAAAATACAAAAATTAGTTGGGCATGGTGGCTCATGCCTGTAGTCCCAGCTACGTGACAGGCTGAGGCAGGAGAATCACCTGAATCCAAGAGGCGGAGGTTGCAGTGAGCCGATATCGCACCACTGCACTCCACCCTGGGCGATAGAGTGAGGCTCCACATAAAAAAAAAAAACAAAAAACTAATACCATATTATGCTATTCCTAAGTAATGTGGAGATGTATGTCCGGGGTTAGGTTTTTATTTCTAGTCTAATAAATATATAATAAATGATAAATATAATATATACTATATAATAAATATGACCTTTTTATTGTAAGATGAAACACTTACCTGATGTCCTATTTTCTTCTGACTGTTTCAAACTTAGCTGCTTTTCTCTACTGCTGGTTAAATACTTTCTGGAGGGATCTGTCATGGCCTTGTTGTTCCTATAGTTAATAATTTTATATCAATATAGCACAGGTATATAAAGATATTGTTCTTAATTTTAAACAGTTGTTATTAAAACACTTACATTTCAAGTGCCAAATTCATTGATACGCTTGAAAATTAAGCTACAAGACTGTTAAAGTCCCAAAATGTCAATGACTTAAACAAATGAGAATTACAAAAATAATCTTTAATTACCATCTCAAGAGCCAATCCAATCCATAACTCTGATAACTAAGCAAAAGTAAAAGAGCATTTTCTTTATATAAAAGTCAAATCAGAGACAGCAAGATTATTACATATTCTTGGCCAAAAGCAGGACCAGATAAAATAATTCAGCTACCAATACCAAAAGAATCAATTAAAAAGTAAACTAAATGTGGCCGGGCGCAGGCGCTCACACCTGTAATCCCAGCACTTTGGAAGGCTGAGGTGAATGGATCACAAGGTCAGGAGTTTGAGATCAACCTGGTCAACATAGTGAAACCCCCGTCTCTACTAAAAATACAAAAATTAGCTGGGCATGGTGGTACGTACCTATAGGCCCAGATACTCCCAAGGCTGAGAAAGGAGAATCGCTTGAAGCCTGGAGGCAGAGGTTGCAAGTGAGCCAAGATCGCACCACTGTACTCCAGCTTGGACAACAGAATGAGACTTCGTCTCAAAAAAATAAAAATAAAAAGGAAACTGTTCAAGCTTGGTAGTTTATATGTTTAAAAGAAAAACAGGCCAGACACAGTGGCTAACGTCTGTAATCCCAGCACTTTGGGAAGCTGAGGCAGGCAGATCACAGGTCAGGAGTTTGAGACCAGCCTGACCAACATAATGAAACCTCATCTCCACTAAAAATGCAAAACTTGCCGGGCGCGGTGGCTCAAGCCTGTAATCCCAGCACTTTGGGAGGCCGAGGCGGGTGGATCACGAGGTCTAGAGATCGAGACCATCCTGGTCAACATGGTGAAACCCCGTCTCTACTAAAAATACAAAAAACTAGCTGGGCATGGTGGCGCGTGCCTGTAATCCCAGCTACTCAGAAGGCTGAGGCAGGAGAATTGCCTGAGCCCAGGAGGCGGAGGTTGCGGTGAGCTGAGATCACGCCATTGCACTCCAGCCTGGGTAACAAGAGCGAAACTCCGTCTCAAAAAAAAAAAAAAAAAATGCAAAACTTAGCTGGGCATGGTGGCATGCACCTGTAATCCCAGCTACTCAGGAGGCTGAGGCAGGACAATTGCTTGAACCCAGGAGGCAGAGGTTGTGGCGAGCTGAGATCTTGCCACTGCACTCCAGCCTGGGCGAAAGAACAAGATTCCATCTCGAAAGAAAGAAAGAAGAAAGAAAGAAAGAAAGAAAGAAAGAAAGGAAAGAAAGGAAAGAAAGGAAGAAAGAAAGAAAGAAAGAAAGAAAGAAAGAAAGAAAGAAAGAAAGAAAGAAAGAAAGAAAGAAAATTAAATCAAAATCGTATATTCCACATGATTAGAAATTTATGGCCAGGTGCAGTGGCTCACGTCTGTAATCCCAGCACTTTGGGAGGCCAAGGTGGGAGGATCACCTGAGGTCAGGAGATTGAGACCATCCTGGCTAACACAGTGAATCTCCGTCTCTACTAAAAATACAACAAATTAGCCAGGCGTGGTGGCACACGCCTGTAGTCCCAGCTACTCACTCAGGAGGCTGAGGCAGGAGAATCGCTTGAACCCAGGAGGTGGAGGTTGCAGTGAGCCAAGATTGCACCACTGTACTCCAGTCTGGGCGACAGAGGGAGACTGCGTCTCAAAAAAAAACAAAAAAACAAAAAAACAAAAAAAAACACATACTATTTGCTAAGTGGCAACAGCATTTTAATTTATAAATTTATATTGATTAAAATACTTTAAGATCATGAATACAAAGTTAAAAAAATTTTTTAAAGCCCATTTCTCCCCTGTATTATTTTCAAATACTTCAAGTAGAGAGTGTCCATTCAAATACATGTTCATGCTTTAACAGTGCTAATTTATGGGAACCATCATGAACCAAACCTGTGGCAGACAATGTAAGTGCACTCCACGTAGATTCCCTCTGACTAATTTTTGTATTGTCTTTTCCATACCTTCACACCAACTTATGCATGTTTTTGATAGCCAGTACCAAGGGTTCTTCTTCACAGGACTGGCCTCAAGTTACTAGAGACACTTCGCCTGTAATCTCAGAGTCACAAATAAGGCCAGGCACTAGAGTAGAGAAGCCTAGCTCTCTTGATTTTGACTAAAACAGCTTTATGGTGGAAGCACCATAACAGATTTCTCTAAGATCAGGATGAAGACTAACCTTCATGATTTTGTGTGACTTCTCTGGGATCACATTCATGCCTTGTTTCCTGCCCTTATCTATTTTGCTTTCCTTACTCCCTTCACTATCTTCTCTGGGAGTACATCCTTAATAATTCATGTGCACATTAATCTCCATTTCAGACTCTTGTTTCTGGGGAACATAATCAACAACAATTGGTACTAAAAATGGGACTAGGAAGCACACTCCAGGGATAGAATTCTGGAATTGGACTCTTGCTTGGCAATGGCAACAGAAATTCTGTTGCTGATAGTAATACCTCTGACATCTTTTTTTTTTTTTTTTTTTTTGAGACAGAGTCTTGCTCTGTCACCAGGCTGGAGTGCATTGGCATGATTTAGGCTTACTGCAACCTCCACCACTCGGATGCAAGTGATTCCCATATCTCAGCCTCCTGAGTAGCTGGGAATACAGGCGTGCGCCACCACGCCTGACTAATTTTTTGTATTTCAGTAGAGACGGGGTTTTACTACGTTGGCCAGGATGGTCTCAATCTCCTGACCTCATGATCCACCCGCCTTGGCCTCTCAAAGTGCTGGGATTACAGGCGTGAGCCACTGCACCCGGCCACTGCTGACATCTTATAGTGTTACAATTGCTAAGATTTTCATCTGTGGTGAATTAGGATGAAATAAGGTAGAGAAGGATAAGGCTCAGGCAGTATCTCCAGTATTTTAGGAATGTGGTAGACTGATAACACAATAGATCTTAGAAGAGTAATAGAAATGTTCTGAAACTAGATAATGATGACGTAACATAACAAAAAATGTACTAAGTCAATGACTTACATATCCTTAAAATGGGTCAACTATACGGCATGTAAATCGTAACTTAATAAAGTTGTTTTAAAAATGTCCCAAATTATTTCCCTCCCTATATTCGTGCGTCTCATCGATAAATACAGTCTATTCCTTCATCCCTTAATGGGGCTAGTCCTGTGATTTCCTTTTCCCAAAATAATGTGACCCAAGTTAACAGTGTGAGAGTTCTGACCCTAAGCCTAAAGGTGTCCTGCAGGTTTTCACTCACTCTCTTGGAACCCTGCCCCTGCTATGTGAATAATCCCAGGCTAGCCTGTTAACAGTGGTAGATATATGGCCCAAGTGCTGGGATTACAGGTATTAGCCACCATGCCCGGCCTGCCCTTTCCACTCTAATTAAGCAGTTATCCTATACTGTGGCTGCAGTTTCGCGGTTTGAGTTTGAGATAGAACACAAAAACTAACATAATATTTTTTTTCCTTCTTCACAATTCCATGCATAGAAGATTCATTCTTACCCCAGATCTTTGCAACCTCAGCATAAGATTCTTTTTATTGGCCAGGCATGGTGGCTCATACCTGTAATCCCAGCACTTTGGGAGGCTGAAGCCGGCAGACCATTTGAGCTGAGGAGTTTGAGACCAGCCTGGGCAACATGGTGAGACCTTTGTCTCTACAAAAAATACAAAAATTAGCCAGGGGTGGTGGTATATGCCTGTAGTCCCAGCTCCTTGGGAGGCTGAGGTGGAAGGATCACTTGACCCTGGGAGGCAGAGGTTGCAGTGACCCGAGATTGTGTCACTGCACCCCAGTCTGGGTAAGAGAGCTCGATTGTCTCAAAAAAGTAAAAAATCTGACCATGCACGATGACTCATGCCTGTAATCCCAGCACAAAAGTAAAAAATCTGACCATGCACGATGACTCATGCCTGTAATCCCAGCACTTTGGGAGGCCAAGGTGGGCAGATCACGAGGTCAGGGTTTGAAACCAGCCTGGATACCCTGTCTCTACCAAAAATACAAAAATTAGCCAGGCGTGGTGGTGCGGGCCTGTAATCCCAGCTGCCTAGGAGGCTGAGGCAGAACTGCCTGACGCCAGGAGGCAGATGTTGCAATGAGCCAGGATCATGCCACTACAACCTCTCGGTGACACCAGCCTAGGTGACAGAGCGAAAATCCATCTCAAAAAAAAATCTTTTTTCTTTCTTTGTTGAGAGTGTTTACCTTTTACCTTTCCACTTAAAGGAGGCATTTTACAGTTTCTCTTCAGCACATCTGAATTGCCAGGATCACTACTGTCGTGCTTTGGGTAATTATTAATATATGGGTTACTTAACAGAAACACGGCAACACTGTCACAATTGATCTGATAACCAAGATGGCTACTAATTGACTAACAGGTGGATAGCATATACAGTGTGGAGACACTAAACAAGGGAATGATTCATGTCCCAGGCCGGATGGAATGGGACAGCTCAAGATCTCATCATGCTACTCAAAACAGTATACCATTTAAAACTTATGAATTAGGGCCAGATGCAGTGGTTTACGCCTATAATCCCAGCACTTTCGGGGGCCAGGATGGGTGGATTATTTGAGAGCAGGAGTTCACGACTAGCCTGGGCAACATGGCAAGACCCCATTCCTATAAAAATCAAAATAGCCAAGACTAGCCAGGTATGGTGACACATGCCTATAGTTCTGTTTGGGAGGCTGAGGCTTGACTGCTTGAGCCCAGGAGTCGGAGGCCGTAGTAAGCTATGACTTGCACCACTGCACTCTAGCCTGGGCTGGAGCAAGACCCCATTTCAAAAGCAAAACAAAACTTTACCAATCATTTATTTCTGAAATTTTCCATTTAACATTTTTGGACCAAGATTGACCGTGGGTAATTGAAACCATAGAAAGTA